AAGCTGGCCGAGGAATTCTGGGAGTTGAAGTCCACAAGTCTTAAAGTTGCCAAGTTTGGGGACCTCTGCCTTACACTGTATCTAGGCTCTGTTTCATCTGCATAGAAGAGAGGCCGAGGATGGACAAAGCTGCTCTATTTCATCAAAGTCCAGGCTTCCACTTTAAAGTAGGCTCAGTTGAACCTGGCAGAAGCCAAAATTTCCCTTTGTTTTTGCAGCTCCACATCACCCACATCTCTTTCCCCCCTCCCCCAGCAAAGCAGCAAGAATTTCATTTGCTTATAACCCCACAGGGCAAGCAAAGGGAAGCTGCGTCCTCACAAATCTTCTGCCCCTAATCAGGCTGAGCTGTTTTAGAAAAGATAATCCCATTTGGGATTGCATTGTAAGATGAAGCATGCTTGATTTTTGCCTTGATATTACTTGAGTTTTCAGTTGTAGTGTAGTTTTTGTTTTTGTTTACTTTGTAGGCCTCTTTCAGGAAAAAAAAATTGGAAAAAAATTGGAAAACTAATGAGCACAATGCCAAGGCTCCCTGGTTTGTTGGTTGAAAATGTTACAATCAATGTTAAGCTGCAATGCTTCTCCCTCTTATTAGCAGCGGGAATAATTGTTTAGTATATACAGAGACAAGCTATGAAAAATGGGTCATGAATTAGCAAATCCCTCATTGAAATTTCACCTCTGTTCTGAAATTCTATTTTACTGACTCCTCCTAGGAACCGCAACTAGTTCATACACAGTAGATACTCCACGCCATATTTCTGTTGTGCCGTGCAAAAGGTACAGGGATAACCACCCAGTTCAGCACCAGACAATTAACAGAATTTGTTATTAGGTGTTATTAAAATTATGTTTATAGAACAGTTAATAATTTGAGCTCCTTTTATTACCGTTTGTGTTTGTTTCTGCCGTTTCACCATGTTAGAACTTCTTCATGTTCTGCCCAGGGTTAGATACACCCAGGGCTTTTTGTACCATGTTTGGGTTGCAGAAGCCCAAATGATCATTAAATGGCAAGGAAGAGATATAGCCAGGGATTGTCTGGGTTTTGCAGCCCAGACAAAGTAGACTTTATATCTGTGCAAGTGCATCTAGGGATTCCCTGCCACAGAAAAGAGCCTCTTGAGTCTCATTTAAAAAGCATTGATCTTTAGCCTTGGCAAATAAGTAACACAATGGACAACATTTCTGACAAGACAAAAAAGAGATGATAATGGGGCCTGATATTCCTCCCTCAAAATGACTTCTCATATAATGCATAACAACTACTTTATGGTAACCTACTGATCTGGAAGCAGTCTCTACTCACTCTTGACTGTTCTCAAGGCTGGAAGACTGTGTACCAATTAAGTAAGGGCAGGTAAATTCATAGGTGCCTTTTGTGTTTTTGAATATCTGAATGGAAAATATGTCTATTCTCACTTCACCTTATTATGCCATGAAACTTAAAAGGGCTCCACATTAGCTTCTTTCTCTTGGGTTGCCATTCTGTTTCCCAGACTTAGTCACCTAAAGCCAGAGGTCTCAGAATTCAATTCAACAACGATGTGGTATAGCACCGCCAGTACCGCATCGGCCTCAACCTTTTCAACAATTCTGGGAGTTGAAGTCCACAAGTCTTAAAGTTGCCAAGTTTGGGGACCCTTGACCTAAAGCAACAGCACTAGTAGACATTGCACTGCAGATGACTCCCCCCCTCCCCCCCGGCCCCCAAATAGCATTGAAGGAAATGCCCTAAGAAGTCCTTGCAAACAGAATGGGTTATATGAAAACCTTGTATGGAATCCTTTTTAGATCCCCCCTCCCCCCCCAGTTAATGGAAGAAAAAAAAATTCACAGTAGTACTAAAGGAACTTAGTGTGAATAAAACTATTAACCACATTTTGCCTATACATCATGCTTTGGATCACTTGTGTTCACAGATTTTATTTTGTTACAACGACACTATAATGAGTTTGATACTATAATAATTCTGCATTCCGATTTGGTAACTTACTTGTCTTCTCACTGTTGCAGTACCATATGTTTCATAAAATATTATTCAAATGGGAGTTCATTAATTAAAGTAAGGTACAGGATTGATTTAATTAGAAGGTTGTTTTTCCCCACTTCTTTCTCACAATATGTACCGAGCCCTTCTCAGCCTTGCATGGTAGTCCAGTTAAGAAGCACACCCCCAGAGTATTAGTTCTATCTTTATGGTAAGCTTAACATTAACAGAAGCTTGCAAATCTGAAAGTACGTCCCTCCCCCCCCCCTTGCTTTCATAGTGAAAGGAATTAGGGAGGGTGCCTTCTGAGATATTTGCTATGTTCACATTTCTTCTCCAAGCTCAGCTGTGTCTTATTTGACTGTGGTCCAGTCTGTGGCTCTATCTCCAGTCTCCCAAGCCATTGCCCTGCACCATTATAGTGCCAAAGAGAATCTGCCCTGGCTGACCTCCTTCTCTGCCTCTCCATAGGTGAAGTCCTTGGCAGAATCGATTGATGAAGCCTTAAACTGCCACCCACTTGGCCAGGAGGGAGGACCTGGTGGCCCCACTTTGGAAAAAAGTGAATCCAAGGAGCAGCAGGGTGACAGTGCTGCCACTTCATTCAGTGATGTCACTCTCTATCTGGACGAAGGCGCTCCCACGTCACCCCTCTCTCTGGAGCGCCCCCCCAGCACTGAGCCCCCAGAGCCTGCTCCGGGAGTACCCCTCCCACCACCCCCGCGGCCGGAGTACTGGGGGGCGCCCCAGCGGGAGGACAGCCGGGAGAATGGGGGCGGGAGCCGGCGCAGCACACCTTGCATGGAATGCCGGGACTACCGCCTTCGGGGCGCTCACCTGCCCTTGCTCACAATTGAGCCTCCCAGTGACAGCTCAGTGGATCTGAGCGACCGTTCTGATCGGGGTTCAGTCAATCGGGGGCTCATATATGAGCAAGATGGCTGCAGCCCCCATGGCACCCTCAAACATCCTGGAGGGCCTGCACGCTCCCCACACCCACACCGCCATTATCATCCCGAGAAAAGCCAGCCTCCTCCACCTTTGCCCATCCCACCCCCTCAGGCCCCAGGCCGCCTGCCTCCGCCTCCTCCGCCGGACAACTCAGATGGCGACAACGACAGCCTCAACAGCACCACCAACTCCAACGAGACCATCAACTGCAGCTCAGGATCCTCCTCCCGGGACAGCCTGCGCGACCCGCCTCCACCTCCCCCAGCCTCCACCACGACTGTCGTGGGGCCCTGCAAGCAGACCTACCAGCGTGAGACGCGGCACAGCTGGGATTCTCCTGCCTTCAACAACGACGTGGTGCAGCGCCGCCAGTACCGCATCGGCCTCAATCTTTTCAACAAGTATGACTGGTGTGGTCAGAGCGCCAAGGGGAAAACAGTGGTTTAAGCATGTTTAGCAGAAGGCTGGGTTAGGCTCCAGGGCTGGTCTAGCTTTACAGGCCTCAGAGACCCAGCTGAATTTAGCATTGGGGTGGGGGATTGTGAGTGGTTTCTTGACTTGAGGACAGAAGTGCTGGGTCAGCTTTGAGTGTTTTTTTTTTCACTTTTTTTTTTTTTGCTACTTATATCTCTCATCTTTTCTCTGAGGGCTCCAAGTGACATGCTGTACATATGGCTAATTTCATCTCCTGTGGGTTAGATTGGAATGAAAAAGAATGACTGGCCAGTGAGCTCAAGGGGAGACTTGAATTTGGATCTCCCTGGTGCAAGCCCAGTCTTCATCTCCAAGGATGCATTGGGTATATCCCCATGCCCAACTGCCTGATAGAATTGCGATGTCGTTCTCTTTTTAGCAAGGCCATTTGACCAAGGTCCTTCTGCGTATTGTAACTTCCCAACTGCTCTCCAAAATATAGGCAATCTGGGGAAGAATCTGTTCTTTGTATAGTCTGGATCACCAATGGAGCGTTTGAGTAGCACCCAAGGAGCAGAATTTAGTGGTCTGGACATCTTCTGGATGAAATATGGCCTACAAGAAATAAAAAGGTCAAATTATAGAAGGACTTCTGCTGGTAAAATTTGGATATTTTATGACAGTCCTTGAAAACATGGTGCCCATAGTTTATGTTGGCAACAATTTTTATTCTTCACATGTGCAGCCTTCTATTTTTGAAGGCTTTCCTAGAGACACCCAGTAGACAATCTGAAGGAGGGTTATTTTAGCAACTGGATTTTAATTGAAATTCTGATTTCCAAAAACCTGATGCCCTTTCCTTCTCAGCATAGTTGTGAGTTAGCTTCTCTCGTCCCCAAATTTTGAAGCATGAGATCTTAATCCTAAATAGCGATATAGCATTTCCTCCTCTTTACCCATTTCTACCTTTTTTGCCTTTAAAAAAATAAATAAAATAATAACACAGGCTGTGCTCCTGTGCCTGAGGTAACTAAACTTAAGCAAATGAAACTTTTCCGGCCTGATGGTGTGAAATAAATGACAAGGGGAGAGTTTTAGCTTTTTAAAGCAGTGGTCCCCAACCTTTTTTGTACCAGGGACCAGTTTCAAGCACAAACACTTTTTCAAGGAGGGGGTTTGGTGGTTTGCTTGCAGACGTTAAAGTAAGTTTGAAGATCTGATGTTGTTACCTAGTCGGGTAATAAAACGTCTGCCAGCAAACCACCAAGTTCAGGGAGCGCCTCGGCCCTGCCTCCCTCAGCCCCATCCCTCAGGTGTCTCCCTCCCTCAGGTGTCTGCCTCGTTCCTCTCTCAGTCGCTCTCTCGCTGCTCCACCAGCCCAGGAAGAAACTGCTTCAAAGAAGCGGGGGGGGTGTGTGTGATGGCTTTTCCTGTCGCCGCAGCTCCTCCGAAGCGCCCGTTTCACCCCCACCCCGCCCGCCCGCGGTTCAATCCACAGTGCTCCGTTCTGCCTGCCTGCCTGCCTTCTTCGTTTCGGAGCAGCTTCGGCTGATAAAAAGAGGTGAATAGTTATTATTCTCAGCCGAAGCTGCTCCGAAACGAAGAAGGCAGGCAGGCAGGCAGAACGGAGCACTGTGGATTGAACCGCGCGCAGGCGGGCGGGGTGGGGGTAAGCGGGCGCTTCGGAGGAGCTGCGGCGACGGGCCCGCTTACCCCCCACGCTTCTTTGAAGCAGTTTCTTCCTGGGCTGGTGGAGCAGCGAGAGAGCAACTGAGAGAGGAACGAGGCGGGAGGAAACCGAAGCTGCTGAGCCAGAGAGCAGGACAGGCTTCGGTTGCTTCCTCCCTCCCCTTCTTTCATTTGTGTCCTTGATCCCCGATCCCAGCAGGATTCACCGAAGACGAAGAAAGCCGCCATTTTTTTTATTTATTTTTATTTGCGGCCTGGTACAGAGTGCTCCACGGACCGGTACCGGTCCGCGGCCCAATGGTTGAGGACCCCTGTTTTAAAGGACAGGACCATTGCCAGTCTGAAGGTGGAGACCTCACTTTCTTTCTGTTTTTTTTTCTTTCTGTGCCCCTTTTGCTTTGACTTGGCTTTTTTTCCAGCTATTCC